AATGACCACGGATCCCTGGCCGCCGAGACCAGGAAGAAGCTCTACCCCCCCAGGTGAGGAAAATATAGTTTCCTCTGTTCTGACATTTTAACGTTCCATCAATAGAGAAAAGCATTTGAGTCCAAAACAGGGTTTTCTTGCATCCATCTTTGTCCAATTTTACTTTAAAGGGACATTGTGTAGTATGCTAAGTATAGTAGAGAAAAGCATTTGAGTCCCAAACAGCCTTTTCTTGCATCCATCTTTGTTCTTTTTTTACTCTTTTCTTTATTAAAGGGAGATTGTGTAGTATTCTAAGTATTTTATTAGCTAAAATCATGTTCTTATTTTCTAAATGTTCCTCATTTGGTGTAAAATGACCTCTGACATGATCTGAATTCTCCTCATGAGAGAAGAATTTCCTATCTGTATAGCAACAGGACAGGTAAACAAAGAGGTTTCCATGGCGATCCGCCATTTTGAGAGAGGGACATAAAGCACTAGTCTGCCTGTCTAGCTAATCCACTATTTCCTTCAGAGCCAGATTCACGTGACTGAAATTTTCTTTTAATTAATTAATTTTTTATCACTTTAATTAATTAATCACAATACACATTTTAACACTAAAACATCCTAAATCCAACATCTCTTTCAAACAGTGGAGCTTTGAGAGTTCTTCTTAAAGCTTCTCCAGAGTCAAGCCCTCCATTTCCAGCCACCTGATTGGTCCCCGCACTTCCTGGTGTCACATCATATTTGCTCCCCCGGCTAGTTCCTTTCACCTCTGCAAAATAAATAAACAGTTAGTAGTCTAAACAGACTTGGGCTGTCCAATAACTGTGTGCGCCCATATTATCCGACATCCTAAAATAATAATAATAATACAGAAAAAAAAAGTAAATAAAACAAATGATAAATAGTAACACGGTGGAGGAGCTGACCAGTGACACCTGCAGCCGGTCATCAGGATGGAAAGGAGCCATGAACTTGGAGGTGACCGTGTGGTTTCCATTAGCTGACCGGGGGGGGGGGGGGGGCTCACTAGATTTTACGACTG